TTTCATGGTAATATGAGTTCTTTAGTCCGTAAAAACGTTAGTAACTTTCATGACCCTGGAGCCAGATAACTAAAGTGTCATCAACATAGTGTATATAAAAACAACAAATAGATGTTATGTCTATAGAGGTGAGGGTTTCTTGTTCAGATTTGTGCATAAAAATGTTTTCTAAAACTGTAAAATTGGAGAGAGTGGTGTTCCCATGACAAGGCTATCATTTTGTTAAAAACATTCATTATTGTATTAAAAGCATGGTGACTGTTGGCAGACATATTTAGTTCCATGAGAACAATCTTCATTTCAGTTTTATGGTTAGTCTTGTCATTCAACAGTCATATTTTGGTGGTGTGAAACATAATAAACCAAATTCCTTGCAAGTGTCAGATAGGTTCACCTTATAACAAGAAGATCAAGCAGGGAATTTATGAAGTAATCTGAATTTTACTAACAACTGAGTTTTAAGCTATTGAGAAATAGACTGGACATATGTGATGTAAAATGAAAAAAATATTAATAGGCACAGGAAAAACTAGATACTTATGTGGATACTTACACAATTACCTACTACTTGGTCAGTGAGTGAATCAGCAGTTTTCTTTCTCCTGAAGCTTATCTAAATCAAACCATGTAAAACTGTTGTGAACTGACACTTCTTACTGAAACAGGGAACCTCAATCTTATTCAGTGCCATATGTTCTCTCACAACATGTATATATATAGAAGGTTCATGGTTCACAGCCTGTTGCTGGAGAAATATTTGATTGATTTGTAGCAATGTTTACCTTGGGATTTTAACGTTGTCAGTCTGTAACCTTACCATTGACCCATGAAGGAAGGACAGTATTAGTGTGATACTTACGTTTATACACTTGCGAATACATGTTCAATTTAGTTGTATAACGGAAAGTCAAACCATTTACTTGTTTTTCTCAGAAATTTATACAAACAACTCGGCATATTCTGAATACAAATATTTACGCATTTTCAGAAGCAAAAAAAAACAATTTATTAGATATAAAATCGGCCAAGAGTTGGAGTTATGAGCTAAAAGTTTGTACTTGAAAAACGGGGGAATCCTCAGTAGCCGCGACTGTAATTAGATCGCAAATCGGTCAAGAGATGGAGATAGAGTTAACATTTGTACTTGAAAGAAAACAAAAACTCAGAACCATTCTATGAGCCGCTATGCTACGGCTAAAAATTACAATATAGCAAGCTATATTACAAGCTAGGTGTAAAATGCCAAGCACACACAGTGTCTATGTGACAGGAAAACTAGATGGCCAAAGGTGCAACTTGTCATAGATTCTGCAACTCAGCAAACCCTTGTGAGCATCAAGGTGCTGGATCACAAAGGAGTACCAGAATCCATACAGAAGCTGGACATTATGCAAGGTTGTGGGGACCAGTGTGGGTAACTATTGAACTCATGGGCATAAAGGACAGACACAAAGTATACTTGGCTGACATTGAAGACCAATGCATATTAGGGTTGGACTACTTACTACCAAGGAAGTGTGTAGTTAACTTTGATAAAATGACGTTTGGGAACAACAAAGGCCAAATTCCAGTAAGTGTTAAAAGAGAGGTTGGACTAACCAAGTGCCATCAAACTGAAGTCAAAGTGACTGAGGGAGTTGATGATGGTGAAGTGGAACCAAATATAGATATCAAGGCAGAACAGGAGAAAGACCAAGATTTGAAGCCAATAATTGATTTTCTACAAGCAAGTGTTTTGTGCCCTGCTTGGGAGAAGGTGTCTAGCTTAAGCCCCGTGACAAAGAACTATTGGGCACAATGGGATCAGTTGAAGCTTGAAGATGGTATTCTTCTCCGGAAATGGGAAACTGCAGATGGGAAAGTGACGCCCTTGCAAACAGTTAAACTGAGAAAGTTTTGGGAAGTTGTGCTGCATAAATCCCATGATAGTTTAACAGGAGAACATCTTGGAGTTAAGAAAACATTGAGTCACCTACGGCAGAGATTTTACTGGATAGGTATGAGGCAAGATGTGGAAGAATGGTGCAGGACCTGCAGTACATGTTGTGCTAAAAGAGGACCCAAGCATAAGGGACTTGCTCCAATGAAGTTATATGAAGTTGGCACACCAATGGAAAGAGTAGACATTGACTTTGCTGGTCCATTGCCCCGAACTCGTGCTGGAAACAGGTACATTTGTGTGGTGATGGATTATTTCATCAAGTGGCCTGAGGCTTATGCAATACCAAATCAGGAAGCTACAACTGTAGCTTGGGCTATTAGCGATTTCTTCGTCAGATTTGGTATGCCATACAAACTGCATTCGGATCAAGGCCGTAACTTCGAATCAGCTGTGTTCAA